ATTTCTTCTTCTTCGCATTTTAACTGATATAATTTGGTTGTAAATAAAATTTTTTGTATGTGTCACATAAAAATGGCATTTTCAAGGTAAGCTATTGCTGCATGACCTGGGACTTCTAAGTATTTCAATCTGATTGTCCTTTATTTAAAACCCATGGCTATATTCTCATTGACCCAATAAATACAAGGTTCTGTAAAGACAAATTCTATTGAAGAAAGATTTATAAGATTATGAAAAGAATGGATTATTGGAAAACTTCTTCCAAAGCTGAAGGAGGTAATTAACCAATTGGATTCCATCTGTATGACCTGTTTATCTATCAGGTACTTTGAATGTTTTTTTTTTTTGAATGTTTCCCTTCTCCATTTCCAATTCCCTGCTGAGCCAATAATATTTCCAAAAATACTTATGCAGAGGATGAATTCATTGCTGTCCTACTGAATGATAGCTTGCTTGTGTTTTGTGTTCCAGCCAGAGCAGGAAAGTTAACATCTTAAAAAAATAAAACAACTGATGTGGCTTTTCCACTGCAATATCTAGGCCACAGAGTGCAAATCACATAATGAAGAATTCTCCTGAGAGAGTCAGGTTAAGCAGCAGGAAACAAAACAGCAGTAATGTTGTGTTGTGCCCAAAGGAGCTGTTGACAATAACTACTCCAAAATTGCATTTAATATTGACAAGGAAATCATTGCTGAGTCATTACCTTAAATACATTCTGTTTGCAATCAGCAAACAGAAGCTCACCACTGCTTTGCAGTTTTTGCTCTAAATCAGTTTGCCATCAAGCAAGTTGCCATAAATGAATTAGACATAGAAGAACACTCAGACACATTTTGGCTTCAGTGGCTCTGTTCAACCTGAACTGTGTGGCTGTAGGTGCAGTCAGCTGGTTGGTTACCCAATAACCAGAGCAGGAGTAGCTGTAATTTGATGGATTTTACATTGCAGGAATGATTATTTAGGAGAACTTCATAAACTCCTTCTTTTGCCCACTTGTCATTTGGGCTTGTGCTCTGGCAGAGCAGCCATCTCTTCCAAGGCATTCTAGCAGCACAGTGGGGCCCTGGTCTCCTCCTGCTGCCCTAATGAAAGTGATTAATGATGGCAGCAACAAACAGACTGAAAATGGTTGCAGCCCTTGCATCAGAGTGCCTGTGTTGCAATGGGGATACCCTGTTGCTTAATGTCCTTAGTGGCCATGGACATTTAGAAAGCTGTAGCAACAAGTAATGTTTGGAGGCCAGAGCTGGCAGCTGGGACAAACGTTGATTTAACCTTCCCATGTGTTGGAATAGGTCTTCCTGGGTCTTTTCTTCTAAATTTCCATTTCTCCCCAGTCATGTCATAGAATCACAGAATGGCCCGGGTTGGAAGGGACCTCAAGGATCATGAATCTCCAACCCCCTGCCACAGGCAGGGCCACCAACCTCCACATTTAATACCAGACCAGGCTGCCCAAGGCCCCATCCAACCTGGTCTTGAACACCTCCAGGGATGGATGGGGCATCCACAGCCTCCCTGGGCAGCAGTTCCAGCACCTCACCACTCTCTCTGTCAAGAACTTCCCCCTGACATCCAATCTAAATCTCCCCTCCCTCAACTTAAAACCATTTCCCCTTGTCCTGCCATGTCAGCCTCACCTCCCCTATCAGGACATGGCATGATGGCATAGCCCTGAGGACAGAGCTGCTTCTGACTCAGATTAGAGCATTACTGCTAAAATCATGTCATTTTATCCAGGAGCAAAGCCACAGAAAGTTAGTATTAAAATGAAGGTGTGTCACCGGTTCCCCGGCTCCTTCAGCTTGTTCCAGTATGTCCTTCAGCTTATTCTTCAGGGAAGTGCTGTGATGCACAAGACCGTTACATTTCAAGAAGCCAACACCGAAATGACCCTTCCAAAGCACCAGCTTTGGAAGCACCATGCTGTCCTTTTGATCTTCTCCCCTCTCCCCCTCTTGCCATCCTTTAAACCTGCATAGAAACAGCACTGGGAAAGGTTGCGTGGAAAACAAGCACAAAGCTGCAGGGACAGCCTCAACCTGCTGTGAGGTACGCAATAGCAGGAGGCTGAAAGTACTTTCTTGGTTCTTCTAAGAGAAAAGTCTCATGTGAGCTCTCAAAATAGGACTGCAGTGGCATACAAGCCAGAGCTGAACTTCATCCCAGTCCCACTCTCTGCTGGAGAAGGAAAAACTTGATATTATTAACGTAAGAGGTGAGGTTAGCTCAGGAATCTGTGCCAGAAAAGGCTGAAATCACTGCTGTGTGTTCTGCAGAGCTGGAGGACGGCGGTCACAGGATGGGGTAGGTGCCCAACTGCTCAGTTTCAGCTGGAACTGAATGGCTGATGTGCTCTTCGAAGTCCCAACACACATTTCTTCCCTGCTGCAGTTACAACAGCACAAAGACAGTGTGGTAATGTCTGCTGTGTTACAGAATCTCTTTATCTAAACAAAAAAAAAAATAATAATAACACAACGACCGGTCCTGTCAGACTAATCAGGGAATTAGCAGCATTACAAAAGTGCTCCTCACAAATGCTAAAATGCAGACATGACTCAGATGCGTTTTCAGATCGGGAAACTTATCTTTCTGATGCATGGCCCCAGCCTGTAAAAGAGCTTTCTGGCTGTATTGCTGACTTGTTTGGTGGCACTTGGCAGAGAAACACAGGGCTTTTTTTTTTTTTTTTTTTAATTATTATTTCAAAATCTACTGGAAGAGATTTAGCAGTCCTTTGGAAACATCGCATTTTCCCTATTTTGGGGGAGAATTCTGACCTTTATTAAGGACTTTAATTGTCCAGGATTGTCACATCAGATTTCTTTAAATACTCATAAGAGGAAAAACTCACAAAGCAAAGGAAAGGTTAGTGAACTTTGCTTTATTTTAATCACAGTGTGAACTTTCAAATGACTGGAAAATAATTTCCTTCTATTTTGAATGATAGGAGTTAAAGATAGGACTGACCTATTAGATCACTGCGAGCATTTTCTTGACAATGTGGTTCTGTTTCACTAATTGGAAGAGAAGAACGTACATTTCTGAAGTGGAGCAGTTCCTAGGGCCAATACTGGTTTGTGGAGACTCTCATCATGAGCAGAACCTGAGGCAATGCAGCAGGGACCGGATGCCTTCAGCACCCAGCTTCTGTTTGGTGGCCTGATGAACTGAATGAGCTGTGTCTGTCCGATGTGGAGTGACCGGAGATGAACAGCACAAAAAGCACTACTATGTCTGCTTCTTTATATTGGCTGTCTTGGCAGCATGGCTGAATAGCAAATAGATGTGGAAACTGGTGTCCCTCTGCTCAGAAGCTCCCAAACAGGGACCTTGCTATGTAGAGGAACCTGCACTTCCTTCACCCTTTGACATTTTATTATTAATACTAATTCTGAAAGATGCTATCCAGTTGCTGGGGCACAAAGAGAGTGAGCTAAGCACAACGATGGTCTTGTTGCTTAAAAACACCCATCTATCCTCCAGTACTCATATGACAAAAATTGTTTCCACAATGTTTTCTGTGCATGACTTAACAGGAGGTTTATTTATTTATTTATTTCGGGTTTTTTTTTTCGCCCCCAAACCAGTATTACATTAGCAGAACGTATTTCCGATGGCAGGAAAAGACTTGTTCTAGTCTGGTTTGGAAATAATCATGGAAAAGTCTTTCTGCGTATCTCAGAACTGGAACAAATTGCTGCACTGCAGTGCGCAGCTCCTCCACTGCCAATCCAGCAGCTCCTGGGGAGAAACTTGCTCCATAGGAGGATTTTCCAGGGCCACTCTGTGCAGCAGCTTAAAGGTCCTTAAACTGCATCAGGGACTTTTGCTTTCTCTGCGTCTCCTACAGGCAGCAGACATAATGCCTGCTGTTCTGATTGGAATTTATCCGGAGCCTTCCGTGCATGAGATTGGCTTTGTCTGAGGCTGGAGCAGTGCTGCTGTGTGGCAGTGGTGATGCTGGCACCTCCTCAGGGAGCTCACTGAGTGCTGGGTGTTCAAATGCTATCAGTAGCAATGTTCACAGAGCAGGGCTGTATCCCACAAAGACCAGAAGAGACTTATTCCTCCTTCTCACGGATCTGGATTAAAATCCTCCTCCTTTTGGGAGGTGGGATAGGAGTTGGATACAGTCCCAACTGTGCCAAGGGAAAGGAGAAATTAGAGGAAGCCAAACTGTCATAATGCACTGGTTACGGCAAACGGGAGAGTTGCACAAGCAGCCGTTTCCTTATCAGAGACTTGAGTGTGATTTGCAGAGTTTGGAAATGTACTGCAGCTGTAGAGGATCACATCTGAAATATAATGGGATCAGAAGAGGCTGAGCTTATTTGGGCATCATTGTGTCACTTAGAACACTCTGCCGGGTGAAGCCCAGACTTACAGGTGATGCTGCATCTGCAAGCATCAGGGACCAACATGGAAAAGTGGGGGAAGGCTGCTGAGAGGTGGGCAAGGAGTGCAATGTCAAAGCATAGCATTGTGTCCTGACTCAGGTGGCCTCCTGGCTGGGATGTGGGCCTGTGGACTCCATGCATCCCTCATGTGGCCTCCAGGCTGGGGCTTTCCCTTTGTTAAAAGTGGGCTTTCCCTGGTGGCTATTGCTTTGTTCTCACTGTATGGCTGAGGATGAGATTACCCCTTGCCTTTGATGACATGGCTGATGTAGGGCTTTCCCAGTAGCTTGAAACACAGCTGATCTCACCACACGTCCAGAGATGTCCTTTGTCAAAGCATTGTCATGGTTGAAATAAGGATACACATGTGAGAACTACCAGGCCACAGAAAATGAAGAACATAGGTGTAGTGGAAATGCTGGGTCACAGCCTGAAGCAGTGATTGAGCACCTGGTGGGAGGGCAGAGCCAACCCAGGAAAGCTCAGCTGTAAGCAATGAGTCTGAGTGACCAGAAGGGGTGGGGGCCAGGATCATCCCTTCCCAGATCTCATTTAAGAACTGGCAGGGGAGATAAGAGCTTCTTTCTGGACATCTCTGTATATTTGGGGCTCTTCTGAAGGTAAGCAGTGGGTTTTTTGTTTGTTGTTGTGTTTTTTGTTTTTGTTTTGCTTCCTGCGCATGCTTCTGTTGTGCTTGAGTGAATCCTTGCTTGCTGTAGCTTGGGATCTTGCTGTTGTGCAGTCATTGCTGTATTTTCCCTTGTGCTACAACAGGATTGTTGGTGCTATCTCAGGTACCGTATACAATAGTCCCCCAGGGATTTTAGCACTGAGTTTCTTTTTGTCCTTTCTTGAGTGTGGCGTCACTGCCTTGAATGAGGCAGTCTGGTAAGGCTGAGCTCCACTGAAACTGTATCTATCATGGGTGTCAATCCTGATTTCGTCAGTCTCCAAGTGTTATCTGGTGCATGTAGCAGTCTTCAGTGGAGGTCCCCATGCTGTTGGGATGAATATCGTGTGAATGAAGATTTATTTCCGTGTGTGTGATGTCTCCTTAAAAGACTCAGAGGGAAGAAATGAGCATGATGACAAAAATGCCTTTTAGCCAATGTGTGCCTCTTTATAGGGTTGAATGAAAACTCTCAGTGACTTCTGAGATGACTTTGCAAACTTCGGCCAAACTGTTTCTTAAAAGAGTGTATAAGGATCCCAGTTTGATTTGGAGCTTTCCCAGCATGGTCTTAACTGCAGAGTACTTGATTCTCTTGAAATAGGTAAAGTTTGTTCAGTTCTTCTGTATTTGTGGAATTTCACATGTCCTGGAGAAACCCTTTATTTCCTAGGTCTTGAGAGTGCTGTTCACTAAAATTTCTGATATATTAATCTCATGTGGTTTTTCTCTTTGTCACGCTTTGCCCTTAGGCAAGTTTCTTCTGCCTTCCGTATGTTACCTGGTGTTTCTGCAAAATGATACACATGAGCATTCATTTCACCTCAATGTCTAGTGGCCCTTTCCCCTCTTACCTTCTCATGAGCCTTTGGAGAACTGCTGCAGTAGGGTTACCTGTCTGCTGGCTGTTTATGTCCTGTAGTAGTTTCTGCTGACTTCAATTTTACTTGATTTCACCGCTTCATTTTTGTAGGCATGCCAGAGAGCTCATCCCCTCAAGAATGTCCTGAAGGCATCTTCTGACATAGTCAATAGCAGAAGTGATAGCTAAAGTATACATACATAAATAGTGGTTGCTCTAGTGTGCGAGTCTGTCTTGCAAATATGAAGATGTGACTGCAGGCCTGCACCACTGCACCCAAACCCCTCTGTACAATGAAATGAACTGGAATGTGCTACAGAGATTTTTCTTTGATGATGTCCGGCTTATAATTTACTTCTGGCTGAAGTAATTGGTGAGGGAGATCCATTTGAATGGCTTTGTAAGAACACTTTATTTTTCTGGTGCTGCAGGCTGCAAGTTTCACACTCTGAGACTGAATCCCATTAGCATCGTCCGGGTCCTGGGGAGAAACATTGATTTAAAAGTAGTTGAAATGAAGCACAGAAACAAACTGTAAGTGATTTCTGGCATTAGAAATGCAGTGTCTGTAACGCAGTGGCTCGGCTCCATACTTTAATGGGCTTTAACGTATCAATTGTAGTGCTGAGTAGTAATTAGGGCTATGCAGCAAAACGCAGAGTGGCCGCTAAACTGTTCCAAAGTTGTGGGAGTTGGTGGGAAGGGGGATTTGGGAGCAGGCTGAGTTCTGGTAATAATACCCCTGGGTTGGGAAGAGAAAGTATGACTATTAAAATATGAATTCTGGTTCAGAATTGCAGGCAAGCCTTACCTATCCTCTGGTTTGTCCCTGCAGATTAAAGCTAAGGGCTGAGCAGTGGCAGCCCTTTGGGGACCACCAGCAGCAGTGTTCTCATCCTACCAGGCTGCAGCCTCTGCCTGCTCCGTTACGTGAAATGCATTTGGAAGCTGCACCACTTGGCTGCACTCGGTTGCTTGTGCAGCCCATAGGGATGGAGGGTGACAGCTGAGAGATGGGGAATGCTGCTTCTCGTTTCAGCATAGCCTAAGTACACTCCTAAAATTCCACTGTACAAAAGGATGCCCGGCATCCAAATCTGCTCCTGCTGTCCTGTTCTCAGCAGGTGAAACTATGCTGATTCTGGTTTTGAAAAGCATTCACATTTTTGGGGACAAGGGCACTGCAGCCCGTGATTACTAATTATGCTTATTGCTGTAGGAACGGTGCAAACCACAAACTCACTAGTGTCCTTCTCTTGTTGGCTTTTTCTGTTCAAATTGCCCTTGAGACAGAATGAGATGCCCACTGGTACTGTGGGTGCTAGTTGAGGGGATGGCAGCCTTTCATCCATGTGAGGCTGTTGCTCAGTCCAACAGGCCTGGATGAGCAGAGCCCCTGGGTTCTCCCATTTCCAGGGTGGAGTCAAAGCCAGAAAACAAGTCTCCAATGCTTGTAGCCAGTGATCAATTGTAAGCTAAAGAAACATTTACTTTAAAGTGTAAATCGAGCAGCGTGAAATTTTTGCTCAGGGTATTCCTCTTGATGTTACTATTTTGATATGCCTAAGTTCACTGGTATAAATAGGGTGCAGTTGTCATCACATTTAACTAAAAAAAACCCCTCCTCAGCTGACAGCATAAGTATCATGGAGTCACGTCACCCCCTACTAAGTAACATTCACCAGGCTGAATGTAAGCCTCTGAATGACAATTGTGCTCTTCTGGCCTTGGCTGGCACATAATTTAGGAGTAAGGGAAGGCTTTCAGGAGCGGAGACTTGTAGGCTTGATGCAGAGCACCAATGAATCATACGCTTGAAAACTTCATCCTCCGTAGCTGCAAACAAAATCTCGTAGGAGCCAAAAGCACGGCGTGGGCCCCTTGGATGTGACCCAGACTGGATCACTGCCAGGACCCGTCAGAGATCCAGCACGGCTGGAAGAGGGCCAAGCAGTGTCCTTCTTGAGGGTGGATGGTATGAAACCTTCACAAGAGCTGGTTTTGCCATGTAAGATCCGGCGGAGAGACATGGTTGTTTTCTCCTCGTGGAGAGTGAGATGAAAGATTATCCCATTTTAGGACACGCTCTCTTGCTTATCCAGCAAAGCACTTTTATGGGCTCCATTACTGCTCTGCCTGAGTGTGCTGTAATCCTTAATGCATTTATTTTTGTGGGTAGAAAGGTCTTCTTCAGACGGTGAAGACATGAATGGGAATTATGCTGCATGCTGACAGAACAGATATTACTATTGCTAGTCTCAGCAGTAGAGTAAGCAAGAAGTTTTACTTGAACCAGCGTATCTGAACATAAAAAATTAAAGAGGAGTCAGTCTGTGTGAGGGGAGGGAGAGCTGCCAAGACTCAGCTGGATAAGTAACACATAGTAAATGCTTAGAGTCACCTTGCCAGACAAATATTTGCCTTTTACTTTGAATGAAGACCAAATCATGTCCTAACTAGTAGGACCAAGAAATTCCACACATTTTAGTAAGTTGAATGTCCTACAGAAACTCTCATGGTAAGTGCATGAAGGCAGACCTGAGGTGTTTGCTGAACAGACAGAAGTTTAAATAATAATAATAAAAAAAAGACTTTGGGAAGATATTTCAGTGTAGGAATATCAGAGAGAATACTGTGAAGGAAGGTGGAAGAAAGCTTTGGAAGTGAGTGTGGTTAAATGTGATTGTATTTGGAGGATATATCTTCCTACTTAGAGGTGGTCATGAGGGAATCCAGGTCAAAGTCCCCTGGAGGAGAACTGTGTCTTGTCCCTGAGTAAGATCAGCTCTGAAAAATATGTCATGGGAAGAGTCAGAAAATAGAGTGAAGATCGCAGTCCCTGGACGTTTCCAGTCACTTCTAATAACTGTGTAAGATTCTGTTGTTTGATGAACCAAACGTGGAAGACTGTGGTAAACAAAAGACAGCAGTTAAACTGTTCTTTTTGTGACAAATGCGACCTTGGTGTCATTATTTCAGGGCTACTTCTCAGGGCAATATTCACGTTTGTGTGCCATTTGCATTCTCTGCTGTAATAATCTTTTGTGACTAATTTTTGGAAATAACTGGTTTTATTAGTAGTTATTACGGTTGCTTTGACTTCAGTGTGACTAACCCAGTTCAGATGAAAATATAAATAATGAAGGGAGAATGAGACTGAGATAGGCCAGCTTCTTATTGCTGGTCTAAGAAAGAGTGGAATTCAGTGACTGGTTGTGAGACTTTCTCAGTGTACATTTCTCTCCTACAGGTTTTTATTGCTTTAAACTGAGCCAGAAATGACACCCTCACGTGTTCCCCTGGGAAATCAGGGATCCAGAACTCTCTGCAGTCAGTAGGAATCTTTCCACTGACTTTGGCCTATGGACTAAACTTCCTAAATTTCCATGGCAATTTTCAGACTAGAGTCTGAAATTCACTTGCTTCCCTTGAACTTTCTTATGCGTCCTTCTGGCCCCTATATATACCTTATATATATATATATATATATAGCATATGGTACGTATGATGGTATATATACCGTCATTAATGCTTGTGCGGTTGAGCAGTCCTACAGTTTTTAGTCAGTAGGAAACACTGTCTGATAATCTGTCTAATTTGCCTTTCCTCTTACAGCTTGCTATATCCCCTTGGGCCCCCGTGATTTCCCTCCTTCCTAGCACTTGTACAGTCATGTTTTGTTACCTTGTATCATGTATGTAGACACGGCAGAACTTAATTAAAATGAACAAATACATCAAATTGTTTCACAACATACAATCTAAGTACTTATGTACCCTTCAAAGGCATATCTGAACCACCTGAATAAAGCAGTGTTTAGCAGCTATTAATTAAGTGATGTTTATACAACGCTTTGAACATGCAATGTGGTGAGAGTTTCCAAGCATATCACGATCCCTGTTATCGCTGTTATAGGAAAATCAGGAATGTGTGGAACTGCTGTGAATCCCCCCCAATTACTGAAGACTTTGTGAGCTGCAGACAATCGAGCACGACAAACCAGCAGATCGCCTTTCTTCCAACTGGGTTGTCCTTTTGTTTCCAGAAAGCGGTGTGAAGTGTAATTGTTTTTTTTTTTTTTGGCCAGCTTGTTTATTTAAGCGTGTTTGTCAAAACCTACCGCAGAACGGTTATTCCAGCTTGAAGAAATCCTTCCGGGTCAGAAAGCCCTTTGGATGGCTTGGATCCAACTGCTCTCCTTCCCATTCCTCCCTTTTAAGTTCTGAGATCCTGTCAAAGTCTGGGCTGAATTCCTGAGGCCAGTTGGAGTGTAGCTGTTCTTTTGTTCCCTGCTGCCAACCACAGAAAGCGACATTCACCAGTTTTTGTAGTCAATGGCTTTAAAACCCCTATGTCTCATTGCTTCCTTTGAATGACCAGATGCAAAGCGGTGTATTAAACCTAGGAATGACTTCACAGAGCTTTTCCCTTGTAATGCTGGATGGGCTGCTGTGCTGTCCCTGATTTAAAGGACTGCCTTCAGCAGGCTGTCAGTTTCTTAAGACTATCAAAGGTAAGACTAAATTTTGCAAAATGACATCTGGAAAGCCCAGATTCTCTAATATAAAAATACAATTTTCATCCTTGGTTTGAAGGCTTTATCTATTGGGGTAATTAATTCAGCTTAAAGGGATGTCTTCCATTACAAGTTATACACATTTCCATATAACCTGGTTTAAATGGAGATCTACTTCAAGTAGTAGCTTTAGGGCTACTAAGTTTTTCTGCACTTGAAGTTCAGTGGATGTTTGGTTAATTTTTGTCCTCTTACCATTCAACAGTGAATTAAATTACTGTTCTGCTTAAGGATAGAGCTACAATCCAATTCATTAATCACGTCGAGATTTTTAAACCTGCTCTAGTCTGTTAAGACTTGTTCTTCATAAGGCTGGAAAATATTTCTTTCATCAATATGGCTTGATGCCTATAAACATGTTCTAATTATGTTTTCTTGGAATTAAGTTCATTACGTTAAATTTGGGGTCTGCATCTGAATTGTGAGCATCTGCTACATTCCCTTCAGACGTTACTGGTAAAAATAATGGTGTGGGACTTCCAAAAGTACTCATTTTTGCCAAATTCGGTTCCTCTTGAAGTCAGTCAGAGTTTTACTCTTCCTTCAGTGGTGTGGACTTCAGCCAAATCTGAGCACTTCTCAGAACCTTTTAGTTATTTTATATATAGTATTTTATAACAATAGATAACAAATAACTTCACAGCATTTTCAATCTCAGAAACGACCTCAGAAAATAGTCTACACAAGGTGTTATTTCATTCTGTATAAGTATTTATTCCTTCTCTTTTAAAAAATACGTGTTGCTGTTACTATTGTTCTGTTCTCTGAAACAGAGGTTTAGTGAGCATTTAGGGTGAAAAGTACTGTCAGATCTGTGGATTTACATGAAGAAACCCTCCAGAAACCTAAAGAACCCATTTCAGACTCAAAAAGTTATGGCTTTATATAGAGAATCCTCACTTGTACAGAAACAAGAATAATATTTTTGACTGAGAACCCTCCAGGAGTTTGATCTTTTTCTCATTAGCACTGCCACAATTGATGCAGTTCTACTTCATTCACAGGGACCCATATCTTGAGGACCTTACCTGGAAATAAGATCAGGGATTTTTCCTGAGATCTGACATATCACAGATCCCTGATCTTTCTCTTGAAGACAAGTGAAATTATACTTTCACTGCTGCTTTGATTTTAAGGATGGAACAGAGCGAACTGGTTGAAAATAAAGGGAGAAACTCTTTACCCATTAAAACCCACTGTGTATGGTATCAGTTCCATGTTTTAGTGAATGCATCCTTATGACAGCAACATTTAGCAACACCCTATCTATTGATATAAATGCTTTTTCTTTGAATTAATTAAAATTAACTGCTATGGAGTCAGTAGTGGAAGTGATGCAAGAC